AAGAAAAAGCAGAAATGAAACCTCTTGTAGAATATTATTCCGCCTATTGCGCCGAGTCAGTGCGGCATAGTGGTTTGAGAGACTCTGGAGACCAGGGTTCGAATCCCGACTTGGCCATGAAACCCACTGGGTAACCTTGGGCAAGTCCCACTCTCTCAGCCTCAGAGGAAGGCTATGGCAAACCCCTCTGAGTACATCCTTCCAATGAGAGGTGGTCTGGTGGAGTGGTTTGAGTTCTGGACTATGACTCTGGAAACCAGGGTTCGAATCCTGACTTGGCCATGAAACCCACTGGGTGACCTTGGGCAAGTCCCACTCTCTCAGCCTCAGGGGGAGGCAAAGGGAAACCTCCTCTGAACCAATCTGGCCAAGAAAACCCCAGGATAGGTTCGCCTTAGAGTAGCCATAAGTTGGAAGCGACTTGAAGGCACACAGCGACGAAATTGGGGCTGTCTTGTTTTGCAGATGAGCAGGATGGGACAGAGATGGCGCCTCTTGTGCCAAAAGACCTGCAAGAGGAGATGGCACCCAGCGGAGGTGAGTGGGATGCCAGTGTTGCCCAATGAGTGCCATGCCACGGGTGCGGGGAATCCACTCTTTTCCATTTTCAATCCATGGATGGCTGAATCTGTGGATACGGAGACCCGACTCTGCTTTGATGCAAGCCAACTTTCTCTTAACCAAAACGGCATAGTGGTTTGAGCATTGGATTATGACTCTGGAGACCAGGATTCAATTCCCGACTTGGGCATGAAACCCGTGGGTGACCTTGGGCAAGTCATACTCTCTCAGCCTCAGGTCAAAGCTGTGAACATATCTTGCCAAGAAAACCCCTTAGGGTCACCATAAGTCGAAAACACCTGGACAGCACACAACTTTAATCTCTTCCTCTGTCTTTCCCACCATACCTGAAGGACTTTCCTTTTCTCTCTGCAGGACGAGAGCAAACCTCCAAGTCGTCGCAAAGGTCAACGGCACCCCTAAACCTCCTCAACACGGTCATCCTCATCTACCTCATCTTGTGAGTCAATCGGGACCCCCTGAATGGTGGTAGGAAACTTTGGTTGGTGAGGATCCAGGGTTCGAATCCAACCGAACCACAAGATCCATTGTGGGAGACCTTGAGCTGGGGAGGACACCAATTGCAGCATCAACTGCAGGGTTCTTTTAGCTTTAAAACGAGCCAAGAGATATAGAATTTTAATTGTTGTAAGCCACCCCAATTGTTCGACAGAAGGGCGGGATACAAATAAATATTATTATTATTATTATTATTATTATTATTATTATTAGAATAAAATAGGAACAGAAATAAACACGGATAGAATGGAAGAGTGAGAAAGAGAAGAAAAGAGACTGGAGCAGAATAGAATGGAATGGAGTAGAATAGAATAGAATAGAATAGAATAGAATAGAATAGAATAGAATAGAATAGAATAGAGATGAGTGGAAGACAACATTCTTTATTTCTTATCCATGTTCTCTGTACGTAAACCGAGGCTGGATGGTCATCTGTCATGGGTGCTTTGATGGTGACTTCCTGCACGGCAGAATGGGGTTGACTGGATGACCCTTGGGGGTCTCTTCCAACTC